AAAGTCCACTTAAGGTTCATTTCACTGTCCATTCCCCTTCTTGTATAGGCTAAATGGACCTAACAATGCTTGCACCAGCAGACTGTATTGCTAGTCACCCTCTCACACCTACAGTCAATCACACTCCTGTTTGTTTCTGTGCTGGGAATAGATTCACCAGAGTTGAAATTTCATGCTCATCCATGATTCAGAAAGAAGAAACTAAGATAGAATTGAGGCTCTTTTCACTCCAAGAGCTAAAAGCAACAGCATTTGTCTGGTTCAGACACAGAATGAGAGCAGATCTGACAGGTTAGCACATATGCTAATGCTTTAAAAAAAAAAAAGGATGCTGACAGGATTCATTCATATCAGTATTTCACACACTGGCTGTGGTATATGAGGGGGGGGGGGGAACAAGATGTTTGACTGCCCAAAGAACAAGCCCCTTAATCTACAGCTCTACAGCCATTTTCAAACAGCTTAACCTCTCTATAATCTGTCTGAACTCTGGACACTTACTTCTAAACATGGACTGAGATTAGCAGCCTATCAGAGACTTATAGTACAACTATGAAAGCAATGCCACAATAAGCTGCTCAAACAGCCCATGTGCCTATTTAAGAAGATACAACAGGAGTAGAGCACCATACATCAACACACACGCATGCACACATACACACACACACACACACACACAGAAACGAGTGCCTAAACAACGTCTCCTCTCAGGAAGTTTACAATCTTGTGAAGACAGCTAATTACTATGGACGCTCATGTGTTTCTCATGGAGAGTCCCGTCCTCTGTGTGTGTGTGTGTGTGTGTGTGTGTGTGTGTGTGTGTGTGTGTGTGTGTGTGTGTGTGTATGTTCGCGCACTCACTCAGCCAGGAGTGAGCGGCACAGCTGGTCTTGATGACTCCAGCGCTCCTGCTTTTGAAGGCTGAGCTCAGATAACTGCTGCTCCGGTAAGTTAGTGCGCATCTGAAATTACACCTCCACCTTCCCAGAATGCCCTGCCCGTGCAGTCCATCCATTCCTCTGTACTGTATCTCAGCATATACAGTCTGGAACAGATAAAAAATGAAACTCTACCTCTACCTAGCCTCAGCCAGCGGTAAAATTATATGAGAATTTTAGGATTAACTAAAAAGAAGAAGTATCGACCCAAAAGTCTAGCCTTGCCAGTTCATGAGCAGATGTGTGGTGCTGACCACTGAATTTTGATAATGTGAAAAGGAGTAGTTTGTGGTCATGAACCGCTCCTCAGCTTTACAAAGAGAAGTTCAGCTCAGTGTTTTGCTGTCCGGTTCAAAACTACTGCTTGGTTTCATTTTCACGACCCTAATAGCATTGTGTGTGGCTGCAGCTGCTGTTTTCAGTGAAAAAGCTCTAAAAGCCCACTGAACACTATCTGCTCAGCACCATACAGCAGTCAGTCACAGTTAGAGACTGTAGCTAGTGCACATAGTGGAGCATTTAACAGTTAAAGAGCTAGATATTTCCCTCAGGAGGTGGAAAACAGAGTTAATAGAGAGTGAAATCATTTACCAGGTGACTACAAACATGACTTCAAATGAATGCCAAGTTGCTCCGTAACTGCTAGATGTGTAAATACAGCAACTGCTCACTGAAGCAAGCACGCTACTTCAACTTAGAGGTGCTGGTGTGTCCATGTTGTGCTCACAAATTTCCCTAATCTCATTCTTACGATACGCAATACCACCTTGTGGTAAAAGCAGTGCGACTGTTCTGAGCAACTGTAACGGTGCAATATTTTAAAAAAGATGCTTCGCTGTGCTGCTAATGAACAGATCAAATATTGCTTCTGTGTTTCAGAGACAGGAAGTCTGCATCCCTTCAAAATGCGTCCTTCAACAATAACTCCTTCCTTTTCTGTCCTGGAATCTATTTTCCATTTCCCCCGCCAATGCCGTAAGATCAGGTTCAGGTTCAGGTTTATTATCATCTCCACACATGTGCATGACATACACACAGAGAAACGAAATGTGGTTTCTGATGGTCCCCAGTGCAACATGGGAGTCATCCAATACATCACAATGAGTTGTAACTGAATATTTCATCTTTTTTGCTTTGTTCAGTTTAATGTGAACACTGGAATTCAATTAATTCACTATATTAGTTATCAATTACTGTGATTTTTGTTGAGCTCCATCTGATTGTCTTTTCCCAACACTCTCTTCCACATAAATCGCTTCCCCTCTCAAGACGCCAGTGAGAGCAGTCAATTCTTGAGTTTACCTCAATCATAGGGTTGTCCCTGAGAGCAATCATGTATTTCATCAGTTAGTATTTTTAGAACACCAGGATTTTCTCACTGCTATTCTGCACCTCAAAAAGAGAGAATCAACCTCCAACGGTCCCTTTCGGCCCACTGGCTAACACGTTGGTTTTGCACAAGAAGAGGTGAGTAACATTGGTGAATGAAATATTCTCAGACTGTTTTAATAGAGAACAGGCTCGGGCTGTTGTTACAGTAGCGTGTCCACATGCACTGCTGGGTACATCAACTCTACAATAATAATATGAGATAAATAAAATGCTAATTAAACATGAACATACAGAATCATCTCAGCATATTAAGTATGCTGAAAAACAAGGCTCTCCAAGACTTCTTGTTGATATGTCTGGTATGGACTACAGTCTTTTCTTTCAGATACTTTGTGTAATTTTTGTGCATTGTAAGGGAATATATATGTTGTAAATAAAGTATATATTGTTTTGTGTTGAATTTGTCTGACAAAGACCTTGTAGCTCAAAATACATCAAATAAAATTTGCTTTAAGTATTCAGTTTGCAGACAATTTCTCTTTTTCAGAAATCCTTGGCTCTTGACCCTTGGGACAATACTGAAGACTGCCGACCTGCCGAGACAAACGTTGGCATCTCAAATGATTTTGGTCAATATTGATTTTCATATCATTTTGGTGGATAAAATACAGGAAAATAGTGCGGAAAATGGCTCCAGGTTGTCTGCAGTACAGTGCTGCGCCATGGTCGAATAAAAGTGGAATATTGTTAATGTGTACAAAGAATGCAGCCCCTCTACACACCTGCGCTCTGTCCACACACACACACACACACACACACACACACACACACATACACACAAAAAAGGGTTCGCCATTTGAGACAATAAACATCCAGCTGCAGAGACAAAGAGGTGCCAGCCCGTGTGTGGCGGTAATTAGATAGAAGTTATGTGCAAAAGCAATAATGAAGATGTTCTGCGAGAGTCACAACCTTTTCACACACTGGTGGTGTGTATGTGCATTTATCAGGTGACTATTAGCACATTCATAACGAACCATTCAGGTGGGTGACAACATGTATAATTCACTTACTATGAAAGAAAATCTCCTGACAGAGAAGAAATAAATAATTTATCTTTAGTTTTATATTATGTGCATATTTTCATCTAAACTCCCGTGGTTAAAAACACTGTCCACTGAATTCAACTTCCGTCCTCATGACAACCTCTCAAAAGCTTTGAAAGCCAGAGAGCGCATAATTATTCAGCAGCTGCACGCACAAACAAAATGACACTTTTTGATGCAATGTCACGTTAACCTAGAGAGACGCTTTCTATTTTCTTCCTCATGCTGTTTATGCTGCACAGGGAAGACAATACAAAGAGGAGGCCCGCTTTTGATTAAAGTGGACGACGGAGAAGTGTGAACGCATGGGTGTGTATTCCTGCTGTCATGAGTTTCAGTCTACTGTCGACCTCCACCACTTTTCTTGAAGGTGATGCAATCATGTGTTTCAGTGACATTGAGAGAAATCCCAACAGCTTAGAGTGATAAACTTCCGCTTCCCTTTTGCTGATATCAGACAACTCGCAGCACTTCAAAAAACATCACACTCCAAACCAACCCCCCCCCCCCACACACACACACACACACACCCCCCCCCCCCCCCCCCCCACACACACACACACACACCCCACTCTCCACACACACTCACCCAATTGCCCTTGACACTTGTGTGTTTTCCTCTGCTTCTAAATGCGTTCACTCGTCTCCATTGCGTGACATCAAGGTGATTAAGAACATAACACCTTTGCGTTTAATTTGAAGCCACTGGTCAGAAGGCTGAGGTGTAGCCTATCTGGTTGTTTCTAATTGAACTGCTGCAAAGCAAAAACCTGCCTCTGTTAAGCTGTGCGGTTGTGGACATGGAAGTGTAGTGGTGCAAAAATAAACACATTTCAATGAGCAGTCCCATCATTACAACACTGCTGCCATAATGAAGAGAAGATTATGACTCCAGAGTGACATTTGACCTCTTCATGCAATCTTACAGCATCAAATATCAGTGTAATATTACAGGAATTTACATGGTGTGTCTGATTGTCAGTGGGTTAAAAGAAAATCATACTATCAATATTGCTTTCAGATGTCTTTGCCTGGAGCTCTTTTCTTGGCCTGGGTTTCCTGTTTTGTTTTTGGGCTCCACCATGTGCATGAAGCTGTTTAACAATGACTGACGGTCAAGGGAATAATAAACCTCTGGATGTTCTCCTCAAGTTGTAGAGCAGTGTGCAGGCCTGGCTCCACTGTGTGATCTGTGAATGAACTCCTCATTGTGGAGAAATCAGATTTTTTTTTTTTTAAATACAACTCAATGACACCCTACAGTAGAGCGTCTTTGCACCGTGAACTCTGCTGCATGTGTCAATAGCCTAATACTCGTTACGTTTGTTAAACCAATTTATCTTGTGTGCAAACGTTAAAGAGCCGCGCGCTGTCTCAATGAGCTTGCCGTTAAATTAGCTTCCTTTGATGATCGCGGTGTTCCGGTAAAGTAACGAAGACAAAAGACTTTCTCCTACAAATCTCAAGGTCTTAATACAATAAAATCTAAAATACTGAATCGTTTTAACCGCACATCGTGCATGCACATCCTCCCCTTGTGCTGCTCCGTGTACAGCACAAAGCGCTCTGGAGCAGTAAATGCAGATGTGTATGGAAATCCTGCGGAAAGCGAACAAAGCCTTACCTAAAAACTGTGTCGGTCCTCAGTGGATGCTGCTGCTGTTGATGCTGCTGGTGTCCAGTGGTCCATTTTGCTCCTGTTCGCCTTGTTGCACAGCGAGCATGCAGCTCTGTTTGGCTCTCCGTTCACCGTGAAGATATCCACTACTACGCTGAGCAGAGCGGCGGGGCAGTGTTGTCTGTCACATTGTTGCTGGCCTTTTTCTCGCATCCACATCAGAAAATGAGGGGCGGAGTCAGCGAGGGCTGATTTTTCGAGTGAGGCACCGAGGTGGCTTGTTGGCCTGGAGAAAAGGATTGAGGAAAGGGAGGAAGGGAGGGAGAAAAGGTATGGATATTGAATTTGATACCTTCCTAACAGCAGTAGTATGTCAGTTACAGAAGGAAGGAAGGAAGGAAGGAAGGAAGGAAGGAAGGAAGGAAAGAATTAAGGAAATTTGATAATTAATTTCCCAACAGGCCTGGCTGAACATTTTTATATGCTTTCTTTCCAAAAGTTAGATTAGAAGATTGATACCACTCCCATCATTTTTGATTAAAAATAAGGCTAATCTAGTAGCTGGTTAGCTTAGCATAGCTTAGCTATGGTTGGCCAGGAAGTGTGACTGTTTGAACTTCTCAACTGCTCCCAGCAAAAAAACATACATAAACTCCAATAAAGTGTTGATTTTACTATTTTTATACAAATTAAACAAACAAAATATAACATGTTGCTTATTGCGCTTTAGAGGTGCTGGTAGGCTGATTTTATTACCTCTGGGGGGTAGCCAGGGTAGCTGTTTCCCCCAGTTTCCAGTCTTGGAGAAGCTATTTAGTAAGTTTTGCTATAACTACATAGCCAGCATTAGCATTAACAGCTGTTTACTTACCAGTCTAGAAGAAACATTTCAAGTTGAGCATCAAACTTCATTCCTTTACACGCTGAGACCTTCCTCCAGCGGTAGAAAGCAACAACCATGTTAACTCTTGTTTTGCTTCTACTCCTATCATTTCAACTTCTGCTGAAGTTAGCATGCTAACCAGGTAGCCAGGCAGACCATCTGGGCACCAGGTTTAGAGGCTTATTAAGATCAAGAATAAACAGTGAAACTCAACTTTGAAGTACCAGAAGCCAGAATCATGGAAATTTGAGCTTCAACAATTCCACAATTGAGCAAACATATGACATTGAAGATCATATAATATGATCAATTTGGTTTGCTCATCTACTTAATGAATCTTAAGATGTGATTTTTTTTTTTTGGCAGCTGTGAAAACTTGCACATGGTTGTTATCATAGCTCTCACATGAATTTGAAAAAAGTCCTCCAAATTTTCTAATCTGAGACCTCTATTGGTAAAATAATTTTTTTCTGTTACTTCCAAAACAAATCATTGTTGTGATGTCTGTTCTATGATGTGACAACAAAGTAGTACAGATTTGCACATGTTCAGTTACAAAAATTACTTTGGTAGTTTTGGGTAAAGATCATAATTTGGGTTAAAATGACTACTTTGTTATGGTTAGAGGACCTTCATTGTCATGGTTACAATAATAACCACTTGGTTAAGGTTAGCGAACAAATGTGATCATGCTTAAAAAGAAACTACATTGACTTGCAGTAGGAAATAGTTTGACAGTCTCATTTGAAAGTAAAATTAGGTTCCAGTTAGGTCATATTTAGTTGCTTTTGTGTTTTGCATACATATGTGTCTATGGAAAACATGGTGGGATTACACCAATGACCTTCTATCACAGAGGCGTCAGCCATCACTGTTTGATTAGACACTGGGTGGGGCAAAGATCTGTACCAGATTTCTGTTTAAGTATGAATGCTTGCATAATATATGAATGTATTTGAGTGTGTGTGTGTGTGTGTGTGTGTGCGAGTGAGAGAGAGAGAGAGAGAAATTGCTGTTATTGTGTGGTGCTGGTTGGGCGTTTGTGCGCTCCTCTCTTAATTGCCTCATCAGTAAATGTCACACGTTCAAATAGCTCCGCCATCTAGATTTATTTATTCATTTGTGCTCCATCAGATGCAGGCCCTGCTGCTGCATGCTGCAATTACTACTGCACAGCCAAATATGCCAATGAATAATAAATCACTACACAAAAAGATCTAACCAGCTGTCTGTGATCCATAAGACCAACTGGAAAGAAAACTTGCAGTGGATGGTGTTTATAGTTGAAACATCTTCTTTAACCACTGAAACTTGTTCAGATGTCCTCTCAGAGAATAAAGGACGGACACTTAGTGGTGTAAAACTTGCTGAATATTTCCCACGAACAACCACAAGGCGAACACACATCTGCACACACATCCGCATAAACATGCATATGGATCAGGGAGTTTGCACAGATACTCAAAATGTTGCCTCCAAATAATGCATCCAGAGGCATTGGCTTCATTGCACACATGCTGTTCTCTTCAAAGTGAAGCTCAATAACGGGCCGTTTGGAGGCAGATGACTCACACAAATTCATTGGTGTGCTCAGAGACTGTGACTGAAAAATGGAGAGTGTGAGTGGGCTGTGGGAAGTGTTTTTCTGGCCCAGAGCAATATGTTAAGACCTCTGTACTGATAGGTCTCTTACAGTCCTCCCAGCACCACCCCCCCCACCCCCCACCCCCCCAGCAGGTCAGCAGCCCTTTGTTGAACGCCAGACTCAGGTGCTTATCATCAGTGTCCAGGTGTGTGTCAGTCAGCAACACTTAATTATACTGCAGCCTTTGTAGTGGACGACTGAAAAATGAATTTCACAATGAGTGAGCAAGGTGTCTTAGCAGGTGTGAGAAAATGTGTGCATGTGTGCTATGACAGAAGAAGTGTTCTTAATATGTGTGCATGAAAGTGTGCATAAAAGTGCATCTTGCATTTTTTAGCACAGCTGCAAAGTCAGCATCCTCACAATTTGATTATTCATGTAAAAGATATGGAAACAGTGAAGCAAAATTGTTAGCTAGTAGTTAGTTAGCTCTTGTATTGTACTGGAGTGCTAAAAAAAACTTGCCTTAAAAAGCCTACTTGTACATGCAGCAGGGAGGTGAGATTTATGTTTTATTGTTAGTCATTGCAAATGATATGTTTTATATTTACAAGATAAAAGTCTTCTGAGGATCAACTGACGAGCTTTGCCAAACATAATGCTATCTCATGTAATGAGTTTGGCTGGGGTTGCTGTACAGTCCTCACAAAACAAGCAGGACAGACCCGCTATTGCTACTGGCATTTTACCAGCTCTCACACAGTGGATGTACCACGCCTGTACAGGGCTTTTTCTAACATAATCAATAACCCCATAAATAATGCTGTAAGCTAACAATATTCTTAGCCTTGAGATATTCTCTAGGTACTTACTTCCAACACAACTACTTAAGATAGTTAGCTGGGCATGCTAACATTTGTAGCGTACTTTAGAGTAGACAACCACCCTTTTAAAGACATTGCTTTTACTGTTGAGTGTGTTTTTGTTTTTTGAATGGCTAAAAAAAGCCATATTCCTCCAAACTACTTGTGTGGAGTATCACTCAGAGAATTTGGAAAAACGGAAATCTTGACAGGCCTATTGTGCCTAGATACAGTTGCTAAGCTGAATTGGACAGCTGCTATTAAGGGGAGAGCAATCGATCAGTTGACTGTTAGATTTTCTTTTACCTCTCCATGGATAAAACACAGTCTTACTTCATCTGACGTGTCTCACACCAGCAAAAAATATGTGGCAATTCTCTCAGGTTTTTTTGTTTTTGTGCACACAGAGCTGAACACGCCTATCTACAAGGATAAAGGCCTTCAATCTTTTTTTGGAAGCTATGATGCTATGAAAGGTGGGTGACTGGCATCCCTTCCACTGTTTCCTGGGCACATGTATTGTAGTCTTTTTGCCTGTGCTTTAAAATCAAAACACCACCACCAGCACCACCCTCATCATCGCTACCTGCATAATCATCATTGAAACATCATGATTGAGATAAATCACAGAGCAGTCAAAGCTTTCTGCTACAGCTAAAATCATATCTGAACATCTGGCCATCTCTCTGATCTACCCCACTTTGTTGTTCCTCTCAACTAATTGTGGCCATTACAAACTCGCAAGAGCGTGACGGTTTCCATGGCAATACATTGGATGTGCTCGGGTGTTTCGAGCCTTCAATATCCCGGTCATTTCATGCCATCTGTTTCTCCTGATCGCAATATCTCAACTGATTTAGAAATTATGTGAGTCAACATATCACTAAAGTCTTGCTGGCTTAATGGGCTCATTCACATCAACAAAATCCTGGTGGAGGTGTTTGATGAGGGGATGACAGATTGAAGGATGAGACTTCTGAGAGCATTTCATTAGGTTCATATTGTATCCTCACAGGCTGCATAGTGATAAGTAAACAGCAAATCATATAGTGAAATGAAGGCAAATGGGTAACTTTGCCCTAAACAGACAGCAAGAGTGAAGAGAGACAATTAAATCTGGTGGCAGTAGGCCATTTGTTGGGTCTGATGCACTCATGTGTGCATGTAGAGGAAAAAGAAGCCAAATGATCTGTTGGTAATGGCTGTGATCTGGAAATATGATTACAATGGGAATTAACTAACAATGTCAGTATAAGCAAAGGAATACTCACTAATTATAATCGACTAAATATGCATGACTATGGTTAACTTAGATAATTGGCAAACAGGTACATAATTAGCAAAGGCCAAACTCACATTTAGACACAGTCAAGCAACACAACAAACAAGCATCTCTGCACCTCTGCTGCTGGTTGTGGAAACGGTTCAGACCTCTATTTATCAGGGTTCTATCATTTAATTAATTACAGGCTCCTCTGCCTGCAGGTCACGGTTAACCCTTTCTGTGCCACGCTTCACAAAACAGGGATTTGGTCATGACCCAACGTTGGACAAATAAAAATAGTACAAAAAGTCAGAAGATAACCAAAGTCATTTGTATTCATCCTCTAGGCTCCGTAGATATCTGGGTCAAATTCCATGACAATCAATGAAACATTTGTCAAGATATTTCAGTCTCAGTCAAAATAACGAATCAACCAGCCAACACTGGCATGACCCTATCATGGGTCAAAAAGAAAAACATGTTTTGTTTGAGCATGATGAAGAAGGAAACTAAGATACCAACAGCTGGACATGATACCCACATATGCTGAAAGACCTTCTGTGTTCTTATGTGACGCACATTCATCCAAATTAAACAATGGTTTGTCTTTTAGT